GATGCACAAATGCAATTGCTCACCACGTGTGTAAGGGAAAAACAAAACCCGGTGCCCAGTCTGTTTCCAAGCAGCAATCCTGCCTCCCAGCTAGCTTCCCCAGTTATATCTGGAGCATGATGTCATATGGCAGGGAATATCCCTTTGGCCAGTCTGGGTCAGCGGTCCTGGCTGTGCTCTCCCAGCTTCTAGGGCACCTGGCAGGGCGTGGGAAGCTGAAAAGTCCTTAACTTAGTGTAGGGACTACAACTACCTAGCAACAACTAAAAACATCAGTTCGTTACCAACATTATTCTCATCCTAAATCCAAAACACAGCACTATACCAGCTACTAGAAAGAAAAATAACAATGTGAGCCAAAACCAGAACAAGTGCTTAGAATGTCGGTGATGACAGCCACCTGGGCATAGCCATGGGTGAGCTCCTGGTAGTGGCTCCGTGGTGAAAAGAGAGATTTGTGTCTCAAGAGGTGTATTCATATTGCAAGATGTTGTATTTCTCATCCCCAACTCCCAGTCAGTCCTGTGTAAGCATGCTTCAGGGCTCTGGCTTTGGTTATTGAAACGTTAGCAGAATGATTCTTTTTTGTCTGTCCTTTTCGGAAGAGGTGAAATAAATATCCTGTAGAGAGAGGCTTCTGTTTTCTTTGAAGGTTACCACTATGCATGCTGATGCATCTAATGATCAGTCTGCACTGATGTATGTGGAACTAATGCTATAATTAAGAAGAAACTACTGCCAAGCTGTGGTACATATTTTTGAGAAGAAGGAAGCGCTTCTGAAGGAAGCTGTAGGCACACCTATACTTGTTACAAATAATAACACCACAAAAATATCATTTGTTGGACAGGTGCATGTCTACAGTAATTTACCTTCCCTGCAGTAAATTTGTTAAAAGCCTGCCCCAGGTAAATGAAATCCATAGTTTATAATGTGCAGTCACAGCCAAGCCAGACAGTGATTTGGCAGTACTTAATAACCATAGTTACCTTCCTTGCATTCCTAAAGAGTCTACTTACTATTCAGTCAGTCAGATCAATGATGCCCTGTCCCTGGAAACATTCAAGGTCAGGTTGGGTGAGGCTCTGAGCAAACCTGACCTAGTTGAAGATGTCCCTGCCCATGGCAGGGGCGGTTCAACTAGATGACCTTTAAAGGTCCCTTCCAACACAAACCGTTCTGTGGTTCTATGAATGGTTGTCTTGGTTTAGGAATAGAATTGTATTCTAGTTTAAAAAGTTTTTACTTTGTACTAAGAATGACCTACACATATATCAACACTGAGGTTTTCTGACTAGTTATATCACGAAAGATGTATTTGTATATGAAGATGCTTTATGTCTCTGTTATGTACATTTTCACAGTTGAATCGAAGTGACAGCGACAGCTCAACGCTAGCCAAAAAGTCTCTGTTTGTGAGAAATGCCACAGAACGGCGGAGCCTAAGAGTTAAACGGGTATGTGCTACGTTACCTGGATGTGGTTTAAAACAAAGTATGTGGAGAGAGGGAATGATAAACAACTTAAGCCATATGCTTTATTTCAAGTATATCAGCAAAAGCAATGCAAGTACCACTTGTTAGACCTGTAGTTTCAGGTTGAAATCAACACAGTGGTCTCAGTCCTATGTCTTCCCCCACCAAAAAAGCTGAAGTTGTTCTAGTTGTGGCCGATGCCAGCAGCAAGACGCTGGTGCTCAGCATCGTGACATTGAACTTCAGTGCGTTACTGTCAGAGGGATCTGGGTTAAAGAACCCAGATATTACAAAATGACCCAAGGTGGCTTTTGCTGCACAAAAAGCAACACCAGCAACATATCTTGAGCAAATTTTAGTGGAAATTTCAAGGATTCAGATGTTCTTTTAAAGAGGATTTATTCTTCTAGGAGTGTTTTGAGTAGCAAAAGGATTGAAGGACACGAGTAAGATTGTATTTCTCTTGCATGTTCATTCTTATATAAGTTGAGAGACTTAGGTTTTAATCTGGATTGTAACTAAAAAACCACTTCTGCAGAAGGATTGTTTCCAGGTAGCGGGATTACATTTGGCATAAGAAAGAAATACTGATTATTCTGGGATGGCTTCTCCTGCCTGACTTACTCATGTGAAAAGTCACTGTGAAAGGACAGTAAATAATGTGAAATATACTAAAGAAATGCATGTTTACAGAGTTCATAGCTATGTGTTTGCTTAGGCCTTGAAAAAGCAAATGTTTATAAAAATAAATAATGTAGTTAAAATCTATGGGGAAGTCTGAGTAGTGCTGATCTCCTTGCATTGTGTTGCCCTGGGGATTGGAACATTTTTGTTTGTGTTTTTTAAACCTGTAAATATATCATTGTACAACTGGCTGGAGAAACTTTTGCATTTATTTTTAGCTAGTGACTGAAGAAAAATTCTAGAATAGATGAATTTTTGGACTTTGGATCTTAACAGAGCAGCTTTCTGCTAAAGAAAAAAAAATATTTGACCTCTTCTGACTGTATTATGTCAAACCCCATATTAGCCTCTGTAGATACTAATTTTTTATTGTTCCATCTCCCAAATGCTTCAGCCTGTTTGCCAACCAATCATGCAAAGAGCTACGCAAGAGTGCCCCATCCGCACTTCTCTTGACTTGGAGCTGGACCTCCAGGCATCACGCACAAGACAGAATCGTCTGAATGATGAGCTTCAGGCCTTGCGGGATCTGAAACGAAAGCTTGAAGAAATGAAAGGCAGAGGAGAGACAGACCTTCCCCTGTGTGTGCTAGAGGATGAACGATTCCAGAAACTCTTGAAACAAGCTGAAAAACAGGTATGAGCAGCATACAGATAATGTGTGAAAGAATATGCTTATGCCCCTACCTCTTCTATAAATTTGTTAAAGAATTCAGTCTATCATGTTAAAAACTTTTACAGAAGCTTATTATATAGTGTAAACAATATTTCTTTATTAGTCAATACTACAGCATTTAAACCTAGAATTTGAGGTGGTATTTTTCTAGTGCCCTCTAAATACTTCAGTAATTCAGAGGAAAAATTCTGTTATTTGAAGAAATAGTTGTGGTTGGTGTAGTAAAATAGCATTTACTTCAAAGTTAATTTAAAATTCTCATGTCCCAGCTGTCCTTCTACAAATGTTCATATGCTTTTTGTCCCTCAGCATGAGGTGATTTGTAGTCTGCGCAGAACTTGTAGCCAAAAGATCTTTGTAAGAGGTAAAGAGAGGCAAGGACCATTACTTACAGTGGTAGGGCTGTGTGGGAAGGGCAGTACTTCTGCTGTGGCTTATTTCCTTATGCAGGACACAATTGTTCTAGTTTTGGCAAAGAAAAGCCAAATTCTGTTCTGTGTGTGATGGTCTCTAAAACAAGTATATATTCACTGTTTTCAAACTGCCATAAGATAAGATGGGATGCCCTCACGTGGCTAAAATACAAGAAATAGGATAGCAGGAGCGAGAGGCAACAGTGACAAGCTGGAACATGGAAAATTCCAACAAGATGCATGAATAAATTGGATGTTGTGGTGGTTTTGTTCTGTTTTGGGGAGGGTGGGTTTTTTTAAATTGTGAGGGTGATCAAACACAGGAATAGGGGCCCAACCTCCATGGCTGGAGATACTCAGAACCTAACTGGACAAGACCCTGAGTACCCAGCTCTAGCTTCATAGAATCATAGAATGGTTTGGGTTGGAAGGGACCTTAAAGATCATCTAGTTCCAACCTCCCTGCTGTGGGCAGGGACACCCTCCACTAGACCACGTTGCCCAAAGCCTCGTCCAACCTGGTCTTAAACACTTCCAGGGATGGGGCCTCCACAACCTCTCTGGGCTACCTGTGCCAGTGCCTCACCACTCTAACAGTAAAGAATTTCTTCCTAACATCTAATCTAAATCGACCCTCCTTCAGCTTGAACCCATTACCCCTTGTCCTGTCACTACACTCCCTGATAAACAGTCCCTCACCATCTTTCCTGTAGGCCCCCTTCATGTACTGGTAAGCTGCAATTAGATCTCCCTGGAGTCTTCTTTTCTCTAGGCTGCAGGAGGTTGGAGCAGATGCCCTCTGGAGTCTCCTTCCCATCTATATCTGTCACTGTACATCAGGTTTCAATGAGGGGAGGTTGCTAGTGACATCCAGGAGAGATTTGTACTCTTCTGCTATTTATGGTTGATAGAGATGAGTGTTTTGGTGACACCAGTTATTCAGAGTCACAAAAATGGAAAGCAGTTTTAACAAGGTGCAGAGGACCTCCTAATATGTAAGCAACAGTTGTTTGGGTGGTTTTGGTTTTTAAAAAAGCTAAATGTCAGTAAATAGCCTCATGTAGAGGAGGGAAGGGATGATCCTCATATTTACGTGTACAGAGCGGAACTGTGAATTAGGAATTAGATACTCTGGATAGAAGAAACAAAACTATCATAGTCAGCAGATGTCAAAAAGCAAGTAAGACAGGAATTACTAAGAAAAGAAATTGGAACAAAACAAATCATGGGTTTATGATATAAATACATGTTATGCCTTTAACTTAAGCATTGTTCAGTTCTGGTTCCTCTTCTTAAAGTGGATAATGAAACTACAGAGGGTTGACAAGGATGGTCAAAGGAGGAAACAGCTTCCATGTAAGCAGTGGCTAAGTAGCTACAACTGAAGTCCATAAAACCATGAGTGAGGTGGAAGACAGCAATTAATCGTTGTCTTTTATAATACAGGAAGCAGGGAATTGAAGAGGTGGCAGGTTAAATGCAAGCAAACATAGCACAACGTTTAGAAGCTGTAAAAATTGTTTTCCACAGAACACTGAGTGCTGCAAGTTTGCATAGGTTCAAAAAGCAGTTAGATACATTCATGGAAGAAAAATCCATCAGAGGTCATTAACCATAATGGTATCACTTACTTCAAGAAGTCCTTGACCATCTGATAGCTCAGGAAACAAAACCTTTTCCTAGTATGTTCTGTTTATGCCCTGTTCTGTCCTCTCTATCTTCCTGTCTCTCTTTCTTTGGCATGGTGGCGTTCTGTAATCGCTATAAAATATTACCCAAGTTTAGGCTAAGCATTGACAAGTGTTGTGACAAACCCTTGGGCAAAATGGGATGAGACAGCACAACATTTAAACATCACACAGTGTAACTGTGTGGGGTTTTTACCACACAAATTCATTGTATGAATTTGATCTTTCTAAGTTCTAACCCATAAAAGTAGTGGGCTTTATAATAGAGGCATAGCTAAATTTATTTAGAAGTTAATAGTTTATATCTAATGCTGGATGCAGAATAGAAATGTTAATTTTTAATTGTTTATTTAATTTAAAATTACACCAAATCTAAAGCTATTCCCACTGGAGTATGTCTCTGCAACATTTTATATTATAAATCCTTTGGATTTGTGCTTTCTTATTTCATCTGTTTCTTTCAAGGCAGTAGATAGGTTTGTCATATTTTATATCTCTGATGTCAGTGATCAACACCATGATATACACCGTGATGAGGAATAAGGGTAATAATATATGTTCCTAAAATACATGCAGGCTGCAACACAACATGTAAGTCCTCTTTTCCAAGCTAAAAGAACAATGATCACAGCCAGTTCATCTCTTCGAAGAGTGCTTACAAAGTTTCTAGAAATATTTTTACCCTTAAAATCATTGCCGCCTTCCCCTGTGGAGCTGAACAACTCTGAGAATGCTGTACTCTGCTGTCAATGTTTCCTCTTGAGTTAGCAAAACACAGCAGCCTAGAGAACATTGTCATAGATTATTTTTTAGATCCTGCAGGCATTATAATGGTGCAGACTAATGCAGCAGCTGGAAGTGCCAGAGAAATTGAGTCTCAAGTGAAAAATGAAACCACAGATGTGGGGGATGTTGAAAATCAGTGGCTGCTTGCTAGCACACAGTTACTCTGCTTGAAGCCAAATACACAGACTCCATATCTTCCCTTCCTACCACACCTTCCTACGTACAGCAAGTACGTAAAGCCCGCTGATACCTGCAGATCAGAAAACAGTAGTTGATTCTGCGCACCAGAAGCATTTTCTCTTGTTTAGATTGCATTTTTGTGAGAAATCGTGCAGTATTTCAAAGTTTGAGTCTTAAATCATCATACAACTAAGTTTTCAGATACGTACTGTCTGTCCTCTGAAGTACTTTGGCTTTGTGTCCAAAAGAGATTCCTGTGAATATCTGTAAAGATCTTTATTTCTTTTCAGTACATCTTCTCTGTAGAGGTAATCTGTAATTATGTCATTAATACCACAAATATGTCCTTGTTCAGTGTGTTGGGGTTTAGCACAGTTACCAGCTTTTCTTTAGATTCACTTTCTTCTACACAAAAACTACAGAAGAACAAGACAGGAATTAGTGTTTCAGCTTTAATTTTGATAGTGTTTCTTCTTTATCTCATGCTTAAGCCAAGCGCAGATTCAGAGATTCCTATCTGACACTTATTTTTGGCACTTACTGAACTTATGGCAAATGTATTAGTGTACTTTTCTGCATTTTGTATAGATGGAGGATTCATTATCTTTGTAAATCACTCAAGAAACATGATGTAACTATAAACCTGATTGTGTACATACCTTATCACGTGCATACTCTTAGAGACATTGGGCTGAAATCAAAGTTTTTCTTGAAAGCATCCTGAAAAAAAAAAAAAGGATTACAAAAATGAAAAAGGAGTATATGGTAATAGTGTTAAAACAAATAAGTCATCTATGCTGCTAACCTGAAATGCAGCAGTCAGAAGAATCTCATGTGTAGGTAGGGAAAAGATAAAATTAAGAAATTTTGAAATATTGTATGTTTAGTGCTTTGATAATAAATATTAACTAGGGGAGCTGATAAACATTATGGCTAGTGACATATGTAAAATTAATACATTCCCAGTTGTAGATTGCAAATTTACATTCTCTAATAACAAAACCAATATTTATAGGTTAATTTCATTTTAAAATCATAGCTATTTTGGATTTGGGGGCTGAAGAAGTTAACAGCAGTACAAGCTGACTGGATTTTGAGTGAGTTTGTGAAAGAGTGGTGCTCTTTCATGTAAAACACTTTCATATAAACCAGTAGACAAAGGGTACCACTATCCTGCTGTGAACAGATTTCTATAAATACCTGCTATGAAACTGACAGTATGGACTAACTTTTTGAATTTGTTTTATTGTTTGGGGAGTCTACTGGGCTAAATTCAGACCTGGAGATGTGAACTCCTAAGTTACAAACTAACTGTGTTTTAATTTGAGGTAACAGAACAGCATTTTCAAGTCCCAGTGCCTAAAATTAAGCATCAAAAATTGTTTAAGAACGCGAACTGCTTCTATTAAATCTTGATGGCTGGCAAAATCCAAAATGCAGTAAATAACACTTGTCTGACAGTCCCTGCAGTCTAGAAGTGCACACAATGGTGTGCAAGGTGGCATTGCCTGTGCCATGCACCCCACACAGGATAGGGGTGATAATGTATGTGCTATGGGACTCATCTGCATATGAATGGTGGCTGTTTCTCTAAGAAATCCAGGTGACTGCCCACCTAAAAAGAGCCGCTGCTCAAATTATTGGGCATTCAGAAACTCTTGATAAAGCTTTTTTTTAAAAAAAAAACAAAAACCACACAACTCTTAGTAGCAGTCTATTGCCAAAATGGCAGGTGGTACAGCTGCGCAATTGTCCTGTTGATGTGGCAGAGCTTGGAAAAGACATCTGTAATACAGCCAGCAATACTGAGGTACGGAAATACTCTTAACTTACTGGTGGGTTTGTAGCTGCTCAACAATGGTCACATCAAGAAAGATCCTTGATCTCTCATTACTACTGGTGTTCTGTTCACTCGCCTTGGCTTTTACACTGCTGCAATGCAAATGAAAGAGGTGAGTCCCATGTGAAAAACAAATGTCGCATCATGAATAAAAGCACAAGAGTTCATAAATATGAACTTTGCTAACAAGGTCAACAAAACTTGAAAGTGTATTTTGAGAGCACACCTTTGCTATTTTTTTTGTCTGTCATTTTAGATTAGGTATAGGCAGCTTTCCTGAGAGCTTTCATATTAGGAGATACAAGTATTTTACATGGGAAAAGAATCGCTGTCTCCTTGTTCCAAAAAGATATTTGGATAGACATTTGTTCATACAAATTTGGGTATTTTCTAACTATAGCCCTAAGAAATCTCTCATCAAACTTTATAACACGTAATAGCCACCTGTGATGGCATGGGATTTGCTTTATCAGGATTTGCTTTATTATTTTTTCTGCTGTCTTACTTCGTGCCCCTGACTGAGGCTTGTGATGTCAGTCTTTTGTCTTGCTGACCCTTTGTATAGAGATTTTCATAGAAAGCATAGAGTCATTTAGGTTGGAAAAGACCTTGAAGATCACTAAGCCCAACCATAGACCTAACACTGCCAAGTGTTGAATGTTGTGTCTTTGAAATGAGTAGTTGTTCACTATTAGCATAACACAGTTGTTTTTTCCCCACTTACAGGCTGAACAGTCAAAAGAAGAACAGAAACAAGGTTTAAGTGCTGAGAAATTGATGAGGAAAGCTTCTAAGGATGTATGCCGGTTACGGGAGCAGAGCCAGAAAGTGCCACTGCAGGTGCAGTCTTTCAGGTATGGCCTGTTCTGCTTTTCATGCTCTTTTTAACACAGTGAAGTAACATGAATTATTTCTAAATATAATCAGACGTGCCCTGTAACATCGGTCAAAAATCCACACGCCTTGGAATTGCAAGAAACATCATACGTTTCTAACAGAGCTCAAAGTTGGAGTTTCAAAGGACCGGACCTCTGTAACTTACTCATGTGGCAGAAGTGGCAGCTGCGTGGTGGTGGTGAGAAAGCAGAGTGAAAAGCATCAGACCACTACATGGCATCCGCTGTGGGCAAGCATATGTGTGACCATTGCTGTGGCTCACCTCATCCACTGCAGATTGACAGTAGGCTTTAAGTAATGGGATCTTTTCTGGTGAGGGCAGGTACCAAAAGCAAATAGCTCCTCAGGAGAAGAACAGTATACATCTCATCAGGAAGGTGATTAACCACTACTTGTGCCTTGCTCAATGCTTATTGTTATTAAAGGGATACCTTGAATCCCTCCTCCTTTTTGTTTCCATCCTCCTTTTGGTTGTGGGAACAACAACCGATTACATGGAGCAATTAATCAAGTGTTCTTGCTTAGTATAAGCCAGAATGAACACTTTCTGTCTCAAACCTTAGTCCTAACTGGTTTGAATTCCTAAAAGGCTGGGCAGCAGGTTACAGGCTAGCAGCCCAAAGGCCACACTTCTATACCAAAATAAATGTAAAACTGTTGATTAAAAAATATAATGTTTACTCTTCCACATAGAAGCGGTACTGCAAGCTTATTTAATCTGTTTTGTCACTAACACATGTTTTTAAAGTTTGATTTCTGAATTCCTGTAGAGGAAACTTAAGTTAGCTGTTAATATGTGTGAGGACTTTTTTCCCTTTTTTGACCTATTGTGAGCAGCTTGAGAAGTCCGTAAGCCCAGAAGGGCCTGTGAGGCAGATGTTGCAAACCACAACTGCAAGTGATGCAGAATCAAAGCAAGAGAGAAAGGAAAGGGGTACCTCAGCAAAGAAGCAATACAGCTGAGTTGTTTATCTTCAGTATGAAAGTTAGAGCGTCTTCAAACAGTTTTCACTTTTTGTGCAAGTCTGGAGAAAGTTTTGGTCAGTGCTGGTCATTTAACAGTCACCACAGACAGACTGCTACACCAGTTTACAGGAACAAGTAATGGTGCTCAAGACATCGTTCCCCTGCAAGAAGGGTATCGTAAGACTCTATTCTCCTTGATCTCCTAATCACCGCACAATTAGCCGAGGAATCCAGTTTACTGTTCCTGATGGGAACTCAAGTCTCACCAGTCAAAAACATGGTTTAGTCGACTGGACAAAGAGTTGCCTCCTAAGGCTGAATTGTACTTGCCCTGCTAGCTGCGCTTGTTACAGTACCACAGCCTCACAGACTAACCCCACAAAGGCATTTTTGAAGCTCTCAAGAAGAATGACTCTTCTGAGCTTTAATTTTTTAAGCCCCCAATACTTATAATCTGCTTTTTAGGCTGCTGGCAGACAAGCTTGTGTAAACTTGTTATGCTTCAGTAACCTCTCAGTTCATAGAAGACAGAAATGGTACAGCACAGGGGAAGCAACTAGAGAATGGGTTGACAATTCTGCTTCTCTGAGTCTTGCCCAGACCCAATTATTTTATTTTTTCCTTTCCCTTTTCCCAAGTCAGGATAAAATGTTTTGCCTTTCACATCCCCCCACTGAAATATCATCATAGACAATTCAGTGACTAGATCAATACGTCAGTCCCATCGTTGCCGTTATTAATGAAATACTGATTTTTTTTTTCTTTTTTCAAAATTGGAGCTGCTTTTTACGTAAGTCTGCCTAAGAAGGGAAGTATGTCGGAATGCTCTGGTAACTGCATTTGTTGTAAATAAATTCACTGTGTATTTTCCTCACTGTATGTTTTCCAAACCTGTATTTTAAAGAACTATGCTGTAACACTGGCAACTGTACAGCAGATGACATTGGAGTCATGCCATAAATAGTAAAATAACAGCTTGTTTTCTTTTCTAATTTCAGGGAGAAGATTGCGTACTTCACAAGAGCAAAGATCAGTATACCAGCCCTTCCAGCTGATGATGTATAATTACGCATTTTCATTGAAGTGTTTTTCCACTTGCTCATCTCTTTTCAGATGAACTTTGTAGTTCCAGTGACCTGCTTTTGAAGATCTTCTATTTTACATTCACTATTGATATGTTTATTTGTAAAATACAGTGAATTGAATTGTTGTATGCTTAAAAAATGGCAAAACCCCCCAACAACCAGAAAACCAAAGTAGATTAATTTTGGTATACTGATGCTGATTTTGTACAGTTTGTATGTATTGCATGTGTGTTTATTTTGTAAAGATGGAACAAAGGAACAAAGGCAGTACTAAGCATGTATCCTGTTGAACTGCACTGTGTTGAGAAATATTATGTTCAACAGATGATTATCTTTTCACTATTTTCATGTGAGCAGACTGTGAAGATGGCTGTTTTGCCATGCAATATTTTTGTACAAGAGTGTGACTTTTATAGTTTAAAGTTAACCACAAGTGTAAGCTCCCTTCCAAAACATCAAGGCTGCCTCCCAACAGCTGCTAATTAGATTTATCACCCATGTTGGAATTTTGTTTCCAAAACCAAATTTCTTCTGGTTTTGTTCTTTAATACTTTGTAGGAAGAGACAGAGTTCGGAGTTTAGTTTTGTGAATGTACAGTACTTTAACCTGCACTAAAAGGTTTCTTGCATCTGCAGAAGAGTGAGAAAGGCAAGGCAGACAAGTAACCCTAAAAACTTATTATAATGACACTACCACAAGGGGCAGCTGCTTTCTGAACTAGAAGCTGAATCAAATTCACAATACCAACATTGACATGGGAATAATTATATCCGCTGTACACTTAAATATGAGAGTTTCTCTGCGTTATTCTTTTGTCCTAGAGGCTGTCGTATTGCCAGCTAGGAATACATGAAAGTGGGTGTTAGGTTTACAGATACAAAAATGTTTTCATTCAAGTATTTGCACCAAGAGAAAAATCTGTCACGTACTAACTTGGTAAAGTAAACCCTTTTTGAAAAAGAAAAGTTCCTGACTTGAGGTCTTCACCTATTTCAGTACAATAAATAACATTATTTTTAAAAATACACAGTTGACCTGTTATGCAGTTGAGGGTGCACAAGTTTAATAAATAGATATGAATGGCATGTTTCAATTTGTCTTATGTGACATATTCTGCCAGGAAGCAGCATCAACTTGGATTCATTGGGTAAGAAATCCAGAACATCAGATGTAGATGTTTAAGCAGCCCAGTCTGGGGAGAGCAGTTGGGGTCTGACCTTCTGCAAGTACGGTGTAAGTAGGTGGATATTGCAGCTAACACAATTATTTCATTTTTCTACTTAATATGTTGCACTCATATGTATTTAATTCATTGGCTAACATTTTCTTCCCCAAACAACAAGCCACATATGCATGGACTTCATCTTTCAAAAAGGCTATAATTACTTGGTGAGAAAATGGAAGCAAGTATAACCACAATATGGTAGCAGCTGTCTCAAATTCAAAGTGACAGTTCTGTGAGGAGAGAGGTCTGTGTGACACCCAAGGGTTTCCTTCTGCACAAATACATCAGTTCACTTAAATGTATAGCCAAACATGCTATTTTGGGCAAGATGACTGATTGAACATCCTTTATGAATGCCCCATTTGTTTTATATTTCTTGGGTTTGACATAACATTCAAGTTTGAAAGGTCAATTTTAAAAAAAACAAATCTGGAATTATTTAATGTAGAGGTGAAATGAAGTTTGACAGTTTCAACTTCTCAATTATATAAGTTGTTTGTAGAATGATGTTTAGAGGTGTACGTTATGATTTTTCTTTTATTTATTTACAGTCTTATTTATGTTCTGCTTAATATAGTTCAGTTCTGGCCATAAAAATATTTGACATTAAGGATGCTATTGTGAAAAATATTTAGAGCTGTCTAAATTCTTGCCAGATTAGCTGTTTCTCCTCACATACTGAGCAATTTTCAAAAAAAAGTATCGTCTGATTTGTAAGTGTGAGGTGAGGTCAAAAATGAAAGTATTTCCTGACTTTAGTTTGCAAAACTCATTTTTAAATGACTTAAACATATTCATCCTCCTCATTTTCCAAATTGGTAAAGTAAAGTAGAACATATTTATAGGCAGCTTTAACACTTCTGGATTTGGAGTTTTGGGGGTTTTTTACTAATTCAGATTATTCACACTTGAAACTCAATAGAATAAGCTAAAACAATACATACAAATAAACCCCTATCAGTTTAGAATTATAAATATTACTCTTGAAGTGGAATTTACTCTGCACAGCAGGGTGTAATGAATGTAATTAGTTCTATTTCCAGGTACCAATCTCACTGCAGTTGCATATATAAAAATTTAAGTATTACTGGTACAAGACTATTTAGCCAAATGAGCAAAGTTTAGCAGAAATCATAATAGAACACAAATCAAATAAGATTTTTTTTTTTACTATTGCTATGTTTATACTGTATTAAATATCAAATGCTCAGGACTGAACTAAGTATTTAATCAGGTTATATTTGGAATGTGTTTCTGTTCTAATTTTGTCTGTAAGAGTATGCAAATGCATCACATAGATTAACTTTTGTCTCTGCACTTTCCCTGTGTTTCAGTGATTGGAAAATACATTTTTTTAACAAAGCTCTTTTCTAGACCAGTGTGTTAATTCTTTTATTGCTGTTCTATGTCTTTATGTGCTCTTTGTGGAACCAGATGGCTGCTACAGCTTTTGTCACTGTAAAATCATCGCAATTTATAGAAAGTCTAATCAATCACTGACAAGTCTTAGGATAAGTTCTATAGAAAGTGATTCATGTACTTGAAGTTAGTTCTTTACATTCATTAAGTAAAAACTGCAATAGCAATGAACATAGTCAGCTCTGCACTGGGCAACATCCCAGTATTATTATTCAGAAATACTGCCTTTCCTTAGAGATTATGCAGGGATACATTCAGTCATATATTCACACACACGCGCGTGCATGCATGCATGATGGAGAATCTGGTATGACACGACATTTATGCCTCAAAACATTTTGTTTATGCTAGTGTAAGTGATAGAGGTCCAGGGGATGTCATTCAGGGTTGTACTGTATTAGGGTTTTGTAATGCTGGTTGAACTGGCACTACAACTGCTTCAGAACTTACAAAAAACAGTAGTAGTTTAAAAAAGACATTGTTTAAAGCAGCCCCAGTAGGAGTTCTGCCATTTAAAAGATGGTCAACTCTCTATGCATGCTTAGAGATGAAAGATTATTATACTCACTTATGCTAAGAAAAAACAAACAAACAAATCACACTACAAAACCAAAATCTACAATTGATCACATCTTAGAGAAGTACAGTGGTGACTCAGATCTCCATAGCTCACCAATCAGTGTAATTAAAATTGAAGGTAAGTAGTGATTAAAAGAACTATTTAGTAAGAAACAATCCCTCCCCCCCAATCTTGTAAGCAGTAACCTGTCTGTACAGTAAACCTTTCTTACTCTTCCATTACAGTAAGAAATGTGAAAACCTGATATCTACCCTTTTTTTAAAGTCTTCTACTTCCAATTTCCAGATGTTGATGGGTGTCTTGCATATCTGCCATTGCATACTGCTCTGGTAATTGATGGTCAGATGATAAGCAGATAGGGGAGAGGAGTAGAGATCCTCCGAGAATTATAAAAAATCCACCAAACCAACCACTGAACAGTGCATCCCCTATTTCCCATCTGGGCACAATCTCTGGGAGGTCTTTATCCCAAAATTCCTGGATTATTGTATGGGCAACCCAAGAAACAGGGACTAAGGCCAGAACACCAGACATCCACAGGAGTATTCCTCCAAGTAGTAACAGCTGTTTCTTTAGCTTCTGCTCTGTATTCTCCATCTTTAGGCAGTCCAAACCGAGACTAGAGATTACAAGGCTCAGAAGTCCTAGTCCATTTGCTGTAGATACTAAAATCCTGGAAATCTTGAATTCTAGAGGCAAAGCTAGGAAAGAATCAAAATCTTTACACTGTGTTCCTCCTACATCTTGGACTATACAGGTTTGCCAGAGTCCCATGGTCCAAAGCTCCAGTAGGTTTAAGTCTAAACTGAGATTTTTCCAGTCTGGTAAATAGCTACAGGTACCAGTTAAAATCCATCCTAGTACAGACAACAGAAATCCAACTAACTGTAGACTGCATCTGTAGACCAAGTTCATTTTTAAGCAGTCACAGAAGCTCTAAACTCGCTTTTGCAGCCTCTGTTCTGCTCAATTCTTTGTCATTCTGAACAAAAAAGGTAAAACAATGCTTTATAAAGCATGAAATACCCCTTCCCCTCCCACTTTGTGGTGCCATGTGTGGTGTTTGGGGGACTGGGAGGCAGGGTGATAAACCAGTCGCTGAAGGGAGTGGCCACAGCAGGGCTCACCTTTTGTTAGTTTTGGGGTTGGCTTTTTTTTTCTTTTTGTAAGAAAAATATATACTTTGCTTTCCATCAATCTGCTAACACATTACAGCAGTTCTGCTAGTTTTGGCATCTCACAGTTTGCTTTAAAATTTAAGTTTCAATACATTCCTACTGCCAGCAAGTGAAGGTGTCCACTTTGTAGTCAGTTAAAGATCATTTGCTTAAAGGTCACAGTACCATGTTCTGACTGTGGAAGTGAACAGAGCTTAAGGAGCCTTTGACAGGATGCATTATGCCTCAATACCTGTCTCAGAAGAAGATAGTGTGAGTATTTTTTTTACAGCAGCATTTCTCAGCCTGGTTTTGGTGCATACAGAAGGCAGGAGCCAGAAACACTTAGAATAACTTGTATGGGCAGCTTAATGTGCTAGACAGGGAAAACACAGCTGCTTGGCTACAAAGCACCCGCCCCACAACACCCCATGCACAGAGAGACATCTGCAAGGCTTGCTAGATTTTTCAGAAATCTACGGTTTTCTTAGCATAACGCTTCCCGAGCACAGAGAAAAACAGTTTGATGCAATGCATGTATTTAGACTGTTTAGGATGTGAAAACTCTCGAGTTTGTACGTCATTGTATTAGGCAAGTGGAAAATTGCAACAGGGAGTCAAGCTTTGAGGCTGATTTAATTGGTTACATATGAAAAGGAAGCATATTTTGGTTAAAAGCCATGCTGTAAGGGAACATGCATATTCATTTTCAGGATTTTACAGTGCAGTTGAGAAAGCAAAAGCACCTTTTCTGCGCACTCTATGAAAACTTCAGCCTTCTGCTGTGCAACAAAGTTCTAAACAGTTCTGCAGGTGAGAAAACACACCACCTTCCAATACCAGTTATGGAGAAAACAGACATAAGTTTAGGAAATCAGCTAGGTAACAAAGAGTCCTTTGAATTACTACTGGAACAAGCTTCTGGCTTGCACTAGGGTTTTGAAAAGGACAGGGCAGTCTTTCTGTTCCGCTTAAACCCTTCCATTTTAAGGCCTAGTTTCAGTTTCCAAGTGTTGACATTGATCTTGCTGTTCTGCTACTGCATAATGGACCGAAGATAGATGGACTTCAGTTGAACAGACTGTGCAATTAAGTAAGGATCCTCCTAATACAAGACAAAATCCAGCAAGCCAGCCAACAAATAATGCTTCCCCAAAGTCCCACCTGGGAACAATATCTGGTATATTCTCATCCCAAAATTCCTGGACTGTGGAATGGGCAACCCAAGAAACTGGGACAATAGCTGTAATCCCCGACATCCAGAAGAGCATTCCGCCAAACAGCAACAGCCGTTTCTTTTGTTCCTGTTGTCTTTCACCAATTTTCAAACAGTCCAACCCACATCCTGAGAGCAAGAGGCCCAAAAGCCCCGATCCATTGGAAAAAAACATCAAAATCCTAGAAATCCTGAGCTCTGGAGGCAAAGCTAGGAAAGAATCGAAGTCCTTGCACTGCATTCCCCCTTCTTCCTGGACAACACAAGCTTGCCAGAGTCCCATGGTCCAGATCTCCAGTTCGTTCAGTTCCAAATTAAGATTTTTCCACTGGGGTAAGTAGGTCGTGAGACAGGACAGGACCCATCCCAACAGAGAGAACAGCATGCCACTGAACTGCATCATTGGTCGGTAGACCAAGGCCATTATAGGAGCGGAGCCCTAAAAACTTGAGGAGGAAGGTCTCCCCAGCAGTTCTGCTACCTTGAGTGATGGTGGAAGCTATGATGATTTTAGTTCTCTGCTGCCCCAAATATAAGCCCTTGCTATTAACCCTTTGTAGGCTCTGAAACACTTTTTTGTTCTTCCCAAATATAAAGTTTCACATAAAGGACGAAGGACTTCACTAAACCATGAGTTAGGCTTTCCGATAAGGATTTGATCTGTTACCTTCCAATTTGCTTGGTAAAATTATATCCCAATGCCTGATGATTACAAGCCTGAGGATGAACAAAGAGGGCTCTATGACCCCTCACCCTAAAACACAACAGAAATCTTTGTGCTTCAATACGGATTAATTAGATTTTAAGTGGTGATAAAAAGTCAGCTCTGTGTGCAACAGGACTTCATTGTAATAGCTAAATTTGAGATTTCAGGGATGTAAATCAAGGCCTTGTAAAGAAAGGTAGACTGTTTGCCCATAATCTTTATTCTTAGACTTCCTCAACATACATAATGGCTTATCTTCCACTGCCCTGTTTTATGTCCCCAGCACTGTAAAAGACGCTTTGTAAAAGATCCTTATGTTTCACATTTTCTACATTCATTTCTTTTAAAATGGGCTTTGTTTTGACCGACTCTTAAGGGGAAAAGGAGACGGGTATGGTGAAAGTACCGTAGAAAATGAAATCCTAGACATCCCTCCACCATAATGAACCCAGGCAGATCATCAGCCAGCATAAACTTTACCTGCCCCGGGACTTCAGCAACACCATGGTAGCAGCTTACACCAGCTCAGTGTCGCCTTTCCTAGAGCCCACGTCCCAGATGGCACAGAGCATATACACTTAGTGTCTAACAACATTTGGCACTCAATGCTCCCAGGCCAGTAATGCCTAGTACCTTTCTGATCAAAGCAAGATACCATTATGCCATTACCCCACTAGGAACCCCCGCTTTTTTCTTGCTCTCATGTCAGCTACACTTGTGCTTGTCTGCAGGGTCAGCAAGGAGAAGGTTTATCTGCTATTTCCCTCCACAGATGTATCAGCACAGCCTGTACGGGAAGGAGCTGAGCAGCGTGAACACATGCACACGTGTATGACCCAGAGATGTTTTCCAGTCTTTCTTGACTTCATTTCCTAGACGCAATAACGTACCCATCTGCATATTTTATTTCTCAGCTACTTAAAATGGGTTATCAGGTGATGGAAAAACGTAAACACTGCTTTTGAAGGTTTCCAAAATCCTGAAGGGTATCATTAAGAAATTTCACTATGAGAAGATCTCCTCTTCCTCGTTTCTGTATTGAGTCTTAATTTCTAACCCTTGTGTTTTTCCTGTCACAAGCTACAAAGAGCCAACACAAGGAAAGATGACCCATTTCCCTTTGCTGGTGTGCCAACCCAGTCCAATGGCTTACACCTGGTCAAAAAATTACCATGCACAAGAGCAGAATCACCAGGGATATTACTGACAACACTGGGAACAAACTGATGCAAGCAAAGCTCTAACTTTGGCCATCCACTAGGCAAAAGAAGAAAAAAGACCAACCCTGCATTCATTCAAACCCCAGATTGTATTTTCAGATTTGGCAGTGTCGTTTCTCTCCCCTTTCTCAGTTCAGAGCAAGAATGCTAGTTCTGGAAACCATCGCAACATTCAATGAGAAACTCCATGTCATTTGAATAAGTTTTCAGATAAACAACTACACTTCAGGAGTGCTTCTGCTCATTCACGGGCTACATGCTTATTTCACTTTAAAATCATGGTTACTGCCAGACTGTTACTGGAAGCCTGCTGTGCTTGTCTTGTCTGCGAAGATTTAACATTTTCTTCTCTGCTTTTAATTCCAACAGTGTGAGAGCACAAGGTCAGGCATGCGAAGTCCATTCATTTTGCTAACGTTGACCACAGCTGGAGCAGTATGTCAGCCTTTAAATTTTAGCAATCAGAAGCATTCAGACCACTGCATCAGTAAGATCTGCCAATTAAGTTCTGCAACTCACTATTAACCATGCACTAACTTAAAGCAAGCAAAGCTTCCTTATACTATCCTGTGCAAGATCATAAAAGAATCCTTGTTCTTCCAGTTGGGGCGGAGGGGGGATTGGTAAGACTTGCCTTGTTGCCAGGATAGTAACAAGGTCTGAATTGCCTTTACTTGGAACTTACTGATCTTATGAAAATTTCAGGAAACCCATGAACAAAAAGAGATCTTCCAGCTGAACTGAGATACATAAGTTCTTGGCTCAGTAACTGGCTTAGTCCCATCTCCCTTGTCCTTTTACACTTTTCCTCTGCACTGTTCTTTCTCTCATATCTAAAAAGTCTCATTACCCGAATAATTTTATTTTGATAGACTTGTGCCTACACAGAAGGCAAGATGCCAGAGTTGCTGCAAAGCCTAAGGGCTAGAATTGGGCTCCCATCAGTTTCTGCCCTACTGCTCAGAGCAATATGAAACATAAACCCAGGGTGCCCTGTTATATTGCAATGACAAAACACATCTGCTGACATCTGCACAGCTTGAAACAACAGATCATCTCAAAGTTTCAGTGGAGATGAAACCAGTGGGGCAAGGAAGCTGCCTGCCAGGGACCTCCGGAGCCAGCCAGTGCCACGGGACCCACGCACAGGCGAGCTGCTCCAGGACAATTCTGCCCCTTCTCCTTCCCCTTCTTGCCTTGCCAGCCTCTGCAGCAGGGACTGTGCTCGTCTAACACAAGCTTGTCAAGAAAAGGAAGAGTGGGTCCAGCTATGACTGACCAGTGTGCTTTCTGGTAAGGAATGTGAGGATGAATTTAGGTTTTGACTGGGTTTAGAGCATTTATTATTTTTTTTCCCCTATAGACTTGAAAGCCTGATGTACGTAACATTCAGGAATACCATCCTACAGAGGCTTAAGCATCTAAAAACAATCTCGGCATATGAGGAACTGAGCTGCAGAGAAGAGAGATGTCTGGTCACTTTGCTGGTGCCTGCCTCATGCAGGAGCCAACACAGGCTCTCGGGGGCATCAGCCCTGCTGAAGCCAAGCACTTGCCACAGACACACAGTTTGGTACATCTTACACTTGCTGCTCTTGCCATGTCACTGTTGCAGCAGCCAGTTCTGTGAGACATTGAGCTTTTGTACCTCTCATTACAGATGATGCCCATGAAGAATATAGTGCAGGCCACGATCAGGTTCCTACAGTTTCAGTAATACTGTTTAAAGCACTGGAGATCACATCATTCATTCAAACTAACTCCAAGCATCATTTTGCAAACTGATTTTGACTAGACTAAAGCAGAATGAGGGTGGTCAGCATGCGTATCATTTTATGCAGGTAAGTGCATTAGTTTTTTACTCCCCATAAAACCATTTCAGGCTGAACACAAGGATTCTTATTGCAAGTAATAGATATTTTCTTTAAAAGTTTTAGCACTACACTAACTCTTCTGGGAACCCCCATGGCCAGAGATAGATACACTAATACTTTAGCCCCTGCAAAGAGTATTCGGGAATTGTCTTTACACAGCTCTGCAGCCCACGCAATTACCCAAATGTTTTATGTTCAGCATAAGCAGAAAGAACTATCAGGTGCAGCACTTTGGGAGCTGATTAGGCAATTTAATCCCACAAAAGCAGTCAGTGTATTGTAAGAGACTGAATCTTTCCTATACTTTCAGTTCCTTCGTAAGGTGTAAGCATGTTCATGTTGTGGGCTTGTTTATTATCCTCCAGCAGTCCAAAAGTCTGCTTGTTCGTGGGGTACAGTTGTCTCAAATAATGCTCCCCAGACACTACCATTATTTTTTCTAATATGAAGATAGTCACGGAGTTCCCCAAATATTTTCCGTTGCTCATTTAAATACCTATTATTTTCATGAATCATTCACAGGTCTCTCTTATCTTTAGATTCCCATCTTATAGATACATATGCAAAAGATGGAAATAAGAGCCAGTGTATAGATTTTCTATAACTGAATCTTAGTTACAGCCAGTAAAACATAGCTGCTGTCAGAAGTTGGCAGGTAGTGTCTTCAGCATCTTACAAGAGAGTTAATTCATTCAGCTTAGCAGTCATTTGCTTTCTGCTTTATTCCCTGAACTGGAAGTTGTGGGAGTTCGCATTTGCTTACCCAACTTTGTGATGCTGGAGCACCTTTTGGTTTTGCATATCCAATGTGCCCTTCAATGAAGCCAAACATCAAGCAATGAAACACAGCTCATACTGCTGTCCGTATTGACCAACTCTAGCCTGTATTTAAGTGAAATTTGACAAAAATAATGATTTGTATTGGTAAATCCTGAAGTTTCAGGGTGCTTCAGAGAACATCACAGTAGGGAGAGGTTGACTTTTCCCTGAATAGTTATCTGTGTGTGTCCAGCCACTGAGAGTCATAAACTTTGCAACAGAGCGATAGCAGCTACATTCTGGCCTGCTAATGAAGTGGACTGATCTGAATTTTATTTATTACTAAAGTTATTATGGTTCTTCTGTTTGATTGCCTCCTTGTTTCCCCCATTGAAATTACAGTACCAAGTTAGACACAGCCTCAGTTAGAGGTGGAAGGGTCGATGTAGCACTCATGTGAGAAGCCCAGTGAATCAAACGGACACAACATCCACAAATAATCCAGTGTACAAGTGGCACTGGTTGTCATATACCTGGTGGAACCCTAGTGCGATCCACAGCAGCAAATCTTAATTATGGGCACTTGGAGGCCATTGTGAAAGCAGGGAAGAGAGGCAGTATGGAAAGGGGTATGCTGGTGATGAAGATAATGGCAATTTCCATTTTGAAAGGGGGAAAAAAAAAGTAAACACATACACACAGTAAGCTCGTGGTGTCATTACACTTTCATAAAACATCTAACTCAATATTTAGAGGTGATGATTTATGAGACTACATTATTTGTTCCTGTAGATAGTGCCGCTCAATGAATGCTAGGACACTGCTAAAGCAAAGTCATCACAAAACAAACAACTGAGTATTTTGT